GACATTTTAAAATACACTGTCTTTCCAGCTATTTCTGAATATAGGGCTCAGTCTCCACCATATGCAACATCACATCATATTGCTTTCCTGGGGATACTAAAAGAAAATTGACTTCAAGAAATGGACTGGCTATTATAAAAACAAACAATTTAATTGTTATTGGTTTTTATGAGTGTACCATACTTTTTAATGAAACATAGTGCACATGGTAAATGGCATTTAGTGTCATGATTTCCCTTCTGAAATGTATTTATGATAAAGAATTTAAATCAGACCAGATGCTGTAAAGCAATGGATAAAGGCAAGACCATTTTAGCAAGACTACATATCTAGGAAAATACTGTATGAATGCATAGATGTAGCACATACACTTGTGTAAATACTATACCAACTGAACTTGAGAGACTAATGCTAGGATCCAGCAGAATCTATTATAGTACTACATCCATACCAAGGCGTCTCAAATCCATGAGAAATAAATGGTATCTGGTACCTTATAAAGCTTCTAGCATCTTGTGGACATATGTCACAGGCACCATCGAGCTGTTTCAGTTCAGCTGTTTTTCTGGAGGCAATGTACAGTCAAATCTGTGAACCATGCACATTACTGTCATTATTAGCAGAGTTTTTATTAACAATGGGTAGAAGTACTGTAGCATCATTATAATTTACAGTTTTCAAAGTGGCAGCTACCATAAACCATGACTGGTACTGTAATGCTGGTTCCAGACTATACAGATGTTCTTCCCAGACTTGGATATCCAATCTGTGTGTGCTTCTGTCTGGGGTGTGTGTTACTCTCCATGTGAAACACTGTTACTCACTAATAAACTTTTTTTAAATTAGTAGATGATTAATATATTTTTTTTGCTATATTTAGTCTAGTTTATTGGATGCTGGTAAATCCTAGAAAACAGAAGAATTTTTCCTATGCTCAGACAGACAGTTGCCAATACTGTACTTATGTCAATGACTCCTTAGATCTAGTTTTGCTGTATGCCCACATTGGTGTTCATAGTGTTCTCTCTGATGGATGAAACACACAGATAACTGTTGATTTGGGCTTTTTTTATCTGATTTTGGCAAGGCACTACAATATAAATTCTCCATCTGGCACATGAAGACTTGCATACAGGAATGGGTTCTGAAATCTCAAGAGAAGGTGGGTATACCTAGCCAACTGCTAATCACATCAAATCTACTCAGCGATGCATCATCAGCCTGCTTGTTGGATATACAGTATCACAAGGCACTATTGGGCTCTTCAGCACAGCAGATAGAATGTGTCTTGGGCCTTCCAATGAACTTACATAACCTGGGACCTGCAGTGACACTGGCATCTTGTCAATTAAACTCAACAGCCTGGGTCTCTCGAGAGCCTTCTAGCTTCAATACGATAAGCTGTCAGCTGCATTATCTGTGCATCACACCTGTTTCTACTTTTAACTACTTGGACAGTAATAATCAATCATTAAGGCTACAGTACATCCTAGAGGTATTGTACACTACAGTAAATACATTATGTCTCTAATACCACTGACTTGCTTTTGCAAACGTGCACAAAGACTGCAACAATTGAATACAAACTGCATGCATTCAGTTCAATAATCACTGCAGAAAAACAGAACTAATGTGTTCATTTTTTCTTAAATTGATACTGTACAGGAGTGATTCAATATTATTGTAATATTTGTAATAGTCTTATGCTATTAAAGTTCTTACAGTTGAAATTCAGGACTTTCATTGGAGTGAATAAAACACATATTTCAAACTTATTGAAGACCATGCACACTGACATAATGTGTAGGAAAGAGTAATGATGAAAACAGCTCCTCAGCAAGCCTTCAGCCAATGTCATTAATGATCAGAATACAAATGATGCAAGCGTATGTGGCACTATATGAAAAGCAAAGTATAATGATAGTAAAATGATAAATTATTTATTCAAATGTCTTTACATAAGAAAGAGGTATAACAGAACACAATATAAGCACAGTAAACCTGCCAGAAAGATGTGCAAATTTATCATGGCAAACTTTCAGGGAAAACTTTCCACTTACCAACAGAAGTAACCAAATAAGATGCAGGATCCAAACTCAAGGTGCCAGTAGTAGAGTTTAGCCACTGATTGCACCAACTAGTTTAAAACACATTCTGAAAGTCTAATCACGTCTAAGGACTAGGTTACATCATATGAACAGTACCTCAAAGAGAATCCACCCAAAGTCATTATTTGGTGCTATTTTTTCCATCTCAGTTCATTAAAAGGTCAGTCTAGTTGCAGTCAATAAAATCCTTAAGACTATATTTCTATATTATTTAAATGGAAAGAAAAGTCTGTAGGCTTTTAATTCCAATTAAATATAATTATACAGTGTTATTGCTCTACGTTGTATAGAGCACACTTTTGATGAATGACAGATGTTGGAACAAATCACATCAACCAACGTTCTCCAGTCTGAGAACGCAGTGCCCTTTCCAATGTTCTTAAAGAAGGCACAGTCATAACGTTGGATATAACTAGGGGAACAAAATCAATATCAATCATAATGACACAAATGAAAAGGATCACCATTATGTGAACAGTGTGACATGGGTGCAACATGTGTTATTATATCACTAGTTTTGTTCTAAATGTCTCAGGATTACCTGTTTGAAAAGATAGGTTAATTGAACAGTAGGGGGAACAATAGCTAAGTGAGACCAGGAGTGGTCCCTTCTATGTATAGTATGCCCGTTCATCATGCTAGCAGCTAGGTACTTGGGAACACTGTAGAAGCAGTACTGTACAACCAATGAAAGCTCAGCATCTCTCTGTTCTTTACTCCATGCTGCTTTTTGCTTGGAGGGCTGCAGAACTTTGCGTAAACAGAGACATACAGTAGCTCTTCAGTCTTTCCCCATTGGAAATCAGGACTTGCCCTGAAGGGGCTTAGCTTGTTAAAGTGAATGGGTTTATTTTAAACATAGCTGTAGGAAGAGGGCTTTCAATGGGGGAGGGCTATGGATTATGCTGTGAGCCAGTTGTGTTCATTTCCTGAAGCTCTGAAGCGCTTACACAATTCTCAGAGTTTCATCTGCAAATGTTCTGTAATGGCTTCTCTGTACAAAAGAGTGCATACAGTACCTCAAACACCCCTCTGTCAAACAATCATGGCTTTACCCGCTTTTGAAATGTTGTAGCTCAGACCCACATTTGGAGGTCATAAAAAATCTGAATGTGGTACCAAATTAATAATTCAATTTGGTACCGCATTCATATTTCCACTATGAATTATTTAGACCAACAATTAATCATTTCTGTAGTTACACTATATACGGTACATTCATTCCTCAGTGGCACGGATGTGGTCTTCCCTCTCAAGAGTATGGTTGTTAATTGATGTCTACATCTGACAACTTAAAATTCAGATATTGTTTACCATTTTATAGCTCCTGCCATAACCTGCAGTTAATTGCACTTTTTGTAGTATACTGTATATCTAAAATAATTTAACATTTTGGCAGGTCAGGTATTACATTTTCAGAGAAAACATCTGGAATGTGCCTCCAAAACATTCGACAGCACGCACTGACCAGTTACTATTCTTTTCAATGACAGTATATATTCATAATGTTGAGGTTATCACTAGATTTCTAACAGGCCAGAAATTTCACTTAATTTCACATAAGACACCCACTGGCACTACTAAAATTCTGTAACTTTATTATAACCTTCAAGTTAGCTTTGATTTTTTTTTTTTACATAACGGGGTTCAAACAACAAGCAACAAAATAAAAAAAACATCATCATAAAATAATAAATCACGCTCATTTAATAATTTTAACGATGCCCTCCTCGCATCGGCCCCCAATCGTACTGTACCTAAACTAACCAAGCCCTTGCAAGAAATCCGTTTATGATCGTTTCCGACAACAGTACATAAATAAGTTTCAAATTCAGTATCTAGCAGTTGGTGTTGCGTCTCATCTGAAAAATCAATTACATCTGAAACACCTGGGCTGTACCTGAGCTATCGGCTGTTGCAGAAAGCTCTCTGATAACCGGATTGGGTCTCTTCATTAGTGCCGTCAAGTCTCATTCCTCTTGAGGGGAGACAGCACCATGCGACAGATAATCATTTTATTTTCAAAAGCGAATGCAGGAACGTGATAGAACGCAAAAGCACAAAGGATCGGGATTGTCTCCTTATACACGGTTACGTGAAATCCTCTTGTCCCTCGTTACATTTTAGGATTGTCTAAACCCCAGTATAAAGGGTGCATTGATAAACTTACTGGGTAAACGTCGCTGCGGGAAAACAGCAAGAGGCAACAATTGTTCGCGCTCTGCAGAGTCCGAAAAAAATCTAAAAGGAAACGGGCTGCTTTTCATAATCAAACTCAAAACTCCCGTTTTCCATTCTAAAATAAAATCACACTAAAGTTGTATTGCTTCAGGGGGGAAAATGGTACTCTGTGTCATTCACCTGTTCTATAACCCTGTAACTTACTGCTTTGCACGCATCACACGAGAGATCCACGTACCCTGGACAGTTCCCATCATTACAGCTGGCTTTAACTGATTTTTATGTGTCTATACATTTCAACAAACTGTTGAAAATGAAGACAGCTGGGCAGCGATATTTTGCCGGATGAGCTCACAAGACGCAACGTCGTTTCCAGCTTGTTTTTTTTTTATGGATGTAAAAAGAAAGTTGGCGACAGATGTACAGAATGCAGAAATTACAGATACGAAATATGTATCAACGGTGTAAGAGCGCACCCAACATATTAGTTGTGCCAGGTGGTCAGTCCGCTTTCTGAAAGACACTTTAAAGACCCTGGAACGCAGGCATTCGGATGTAGGCATCTCTCAAATTTCGAAAATAGTCATATATGTTTATCTACTTTTAATTATATAATTTTCGCTGCAAAATATTAACAACTCTACTAAAAACAATTCACGGAGACTCACATAACAGGAATATAAATGCTCAACACCGAAGTGTTCGACTTACCTACAGCTAAATCCAGTAGATCTGCGCACAGAAGGAAACACAAAGAAAAAACGGTCATCTTTCCCTTATTTTGCAATAAATCCCAAACTCCATCTGTTTTTAGAGGCTCTCCATTTCTCGGCTGCGTGTCCCCCACCATTCCAAAGGTATGAGCTCGGGTGGACCCCACAGACTGCTCATGGTGCAAATCAGATTTCGGGGAGGAAAATATGAACAGATCAAAATAATAACACAGAACACAATAAATGAAAAAAAGAAATGCAAACTCCCGCAGAATGAAAAAAAAACGCGTTTCTTAAAATAAAAACGTGTTTCTGCCACAGCCTCTGCTTTCCGATGCTGCAGCGGCGAAGGATTAAAACCACAGATACAGATTTGGATGAAAATCTACACCGCACTCAATGCTCATCCTCTCTCTCTCCCTCGCTCAGACATAGACACACACACACACATGCTCACTCGCTCTTTATTTTACAGAATTTTCCTTAATCCCACTCTGGCTTCCAAACCATTCCCCTCTATTTCTGTCCACTAAGCCGATTTATTTCTGCTGGTTTTTTCCCACCCCCCGGAGAAAAAGGGTTTTTAGATTATTAACCTCCTGCATGCTGAAGCGCACTGCCCCATGTTAACCATAACCAACTAAACCTGGAGAGTTTCAACGCGGGAGCATTTGACGGCTGTGAACAGTGTCGCTGTTCTTTCAGCTTTCGGGGCAGACAAAATCCTTAAATAAACAAAGTACACAGAGACATATTAAGTTCTGTCTGCCGTTTATTTGGTGGTTTTAGAATGCGAAACGAGACCAATGCCACCGTAACAGTGCCAGGCTGATGATCAGTGGCGTGCACGTAGCAAACCACAGTCCAGTCTGAGAGCATGTACAGTAATTACTTTAAACCGGCTAATTAACAAGAAACGTCTTGTCCACTCTTATCATGAAAGTCATATATTTTAAAAACAATTGCATACATTGTATACAGCAATACCAGTGTCCTTACACTGGTCGTGCCATTCTCCACGATTATAAATACAACAAATGTTTTGCTAATGAAGTGTGTTCTTTTTTTTTTACTTCACCACCATACAGTACCTTTCACCGATCTTATATCAGATGTTGTATCCTCCAACGTAACGCACGTTCTGTAAAGACTAACCTTAAGACTTTTGTGTAATTCTACTCATGATGTTTCTCTCAGAACATGAACAAAACCTAACGCGTGACGCAACCGTCGTGCGTAACCACATCTGTCCTGCGAAGCAGCACCTGTACAACATGGCTTTTAATTGCATTCCAAACGTGCCCGTGCGTATTGGACACATGATAATAATCCTCCTTTATTACATAAAGAATCATTAAATAATGCTAGATATCACACTAAATCAGGTAAGAACGAAATGTAGTCCCTAAGAAATGTCTGGGTGAAAAGAGTCTAGCTAACATGTTGGTTGTGAAGGAGAAAACAGGCATCAAGAACTGACCTGAGACAGGAGTATATTTAGCAGGAGACGCGTTCCGCCACTACATGATATTAAACTTTTACAGGTGTTTAGAATGAGTACACTTAACGTAACGATAGATTAAGTGCAATTAAACTGGTAAACTGGAATCTATACATATGAAAAATGTTACCGAGAGCAGAAATTAACTTAAAACGACCCGTCCACATTAATAATAATAATAATAATAATAATAATAATAATAATAATAATAATAATAATAATAAATACAAACGCTCACAACCGTTTCGGTTAAAGGATCCCTGTAGTCTATTACACAGGCGATCAACCCAATACTACAGTCCCTGCAATGAGTTGTATACCTTGTTCTATCTCCGGTTTAAATGATCTTCTTGATCACATTTTTACAGAACTGATTGGCATTGATTCTCTCACATATTTTAACCACAGAGCAATTAAAAGCACTGTAAAATTAGTGTGACGTCAGTCCTGCAATTTCTGGGTGAATAGTCGTAAGGTGCTACAGTACTGTATATTTTGTAAAACAGAAAAACAAATTCTACACACTCTTGACCCTGCTTTGTGTAGTATTCTGCACGTTTGCACTTTTGATGGACTTTTTAACATGTTTGAAACTGAAAACAATTACCTTAGTAGAACCTCCAGAACACTTGTAGAGCATGACAGTGACTATTTTATGTTCTGGAGGTTCTACTAAGGTAACTGTAAATCTTTGGTAAATCCAGGATTTGTGCTATGGTTCCAAATCATCCCCAGTGTCTTGTAAGTCTTGTTCATTTTTTTCTGTGTATTGGTCTGACACTTTTGCTTCTTGTCATCTACAGCCGCCTTCTTTTTTGTGATTTGTCTCCATTAAGGCCCAGGCTGGCTCTATGAAGGGGCATTCATATGCCATTGCGTTTTCTATAACAGAGGTGCAGGGTTGTACACAATATTGATGTAAACTATTCAGCCATTGGCCATGGACTGTATCGTATGACATTGCAATATAATTGCACTGACAGGATTGTGTTTTATACAGTGTCACAGGTAATTGGATGTTTTTGTTTTTCTGTACTTCCCAAAGGCTTTCAAAATTCCATCAGCTTTATCAATCTGCTTCCTAATTTCTATTTTAGCTTTGCTGGAAATAAATGATACCACTCACCAAGCAAGAAAACAAATATTGTAAACAACATAAAATGTCACTTGAGTTCTAATTGCGTTCCAGGTTAGAAGGTACACGTAGGAAATCAACTACAGTATATTGTGCTCCATTATTTGTCCCTACACATTGTCACCCTTCTTTAGAAAGGCCATGTTTATTACCTTATTACCCACCACCACCACTTCAAACACACACACACCTCATCTTTCATCTTCCCAAAGGCCACAATGGTGGAATAAGAAGCACTCTAAGTACAGAGAGACCAAAAAAGCAACATGACAGGACCCTGCAGTGTTGAACGAGTTAATTCGCTTTGAAAAGCAGCATTTTGCAGAGCTAGGAGGGAGAGAGGAAACGTACTTAAGAAATCCGCCTTTTATTTTCTCTCAGCATTACTGAATAAGGCCCTGCTACTGCAGTTAGCAGCTTTTGTTGTCTCTTTGCAAAGTTATTTTAATCAGGATGTCTGTGAGCTCCACTCTGTGTTATGAATCCCTAGTGAGGGGGAAAGGGGAGGGGATCGGCGGGGCACTAACTGGATTGAGAACATTTACCGGCTGATTGAGTACACGGAGTGCAACATAAAGGCTGAGAAACATGAAAAAGCACCTTGCAGATACTGCAAACATAAAATTGACATGAAATGTAACATGAAATTGAAAAGCACAGAGAAAATACAAAGCTATATTTAACATCTCCATCTTGATGCTGGTGACAGTAGTTGTTACCATAGCTGCCATTCTGTAGTATTTCTGTTCTCTGCATGGTTATATCATTTTTATGGGAACATTTAGGCTCACTTTTATCACTCTGTGGCTGGTGTATCACGCTGGCACAGTCTGCAGATGTAGAAATGTGAGCAACTGCTCCTTAAGTGTTTTATAGAAAAGTTCATTTACGAATTGGATATGATGTGTGCAAAGATTGGACTTCCTGAGATTTTGAAACAGGTGCTTGGTTTGTCTGCATCTAGTGTTGGAAGTTCAGAGTGATTTCATGATGTTCTGGTGTCTGACTGGGAGATCAGTACTTACAGAGCCGTCAGCTTCTGGCACAGTGACACTGCACCCAAAAGAAAAAATCATTAAGAACAGCATATTCTGCAGGCAAACTGTTCAGAACCATTCTGAATGAATGTTGGTGGAAATTAATCTGGATAGATATTGCATATGTATCAGCAAGCGATATTCAGCATTCTTTAATACATAATGTATCACCGTTCCACACAGTAAGAGTAAATCATGGGCCTTGTTGGAGGTAAAGGAAAAAGAAATACTGTACAGCAGCTTCCCAGATCTTTCCCAGGGGTGAAAAATCTTCAGAATCTTTGGACCATGAGCTCCTTTCCTTCCACAAAACTGGACAATGTTCACATGTTCATTATGTATGTATTCATTTTAAAGAATTACAGCACGCTTATCTGTGATGAATGTGTAATTATGACTTATATATCTAGAGTATAGGTTTATGTAGATATAAATCTGAGTCCTGGGGCCCTATATAACCTCTTCTTTTACTTGAAGGGCCAAAATAGTCTGACTCAGGATAAAATTCCCTTGCCCATATTGTGCATAATATCCTGGGCACAGGGATTTTGTAGTCATACTTGTTTCATTTTTGAGTTTTTGGGTTATGTTTCATTCATCTGATTTGTTTTTTTTTTGCATGCACTTCTTACAGCACTGCAAAAACACTTCCTAAAAATTGTCCTAAGCAATTGAAATAAAAGTTTAACCCTTTGGGGAAATAGATTTGATCTGCTTGTGATGTTTTACAGATTTTCACAACATAATACAATGCTAATTTTCTCCTCATTTTTTTAGTATCAGTTTAATTTACATTCAGTTAAATTTTTTAAACTTTACCTTGTAAGAGGTTTGGAAAACTATCAATGTAAAGACTAGTTTGTGACTACCAGTGTTCTGTATTACATTCTTAGAATGCTCATATTACTCCATGTGATCATTAATCTAAAATCACAGTCTTAATACCTATCAGAAATCAATGGGCCCATACACACAGTAATAAATCAAGTGAAATGCACTTTCACTCGGATGACTGGTATTTGTAGCCAAATTCCCAAAAATGTAACTGTAACTACACACGTTACCAAATAAATTTTGGTAAATGCATCTTTATTTCACGCTGCATCTTATTATCACAGAAATATCACTCTCAGACCACTATTATAACATTAATAAGTAACTGTCTGATTTAAAATAATAACCAATGAATATGCTACAGTATAATATTTAATTATTATGATTAAAGCCGATAGTTTTAAGAGTACGTAAGCAATGCATTATACAGTATACTACAAAAACTGTAATACACTGACAGACTTTTTTACCAGTTGTAAATAATGTGCAATAAACATGAGTGTAATTTTCAAATAAAAGTAAGCACCATGGATTCAAGACCAGTTTATCTAACTGTACCCTGAGACTCAGTTTTGAGAAGGAGCAGATATTATTTTAACCTGTTCTTGTGCTCTGTCTTATATGACTGCAGGTACGTTGTTGGGAAGAAATTTATCAAATACTTTCCTTATCCCATCTCTTCTCGTCTTACTTCTGAACTTCTTTTTCTCTTATTCCTGCTTTAACTGCTCTAGGTATTTAGTGATGTGTAGGCAGAGGTTGGCAATGACTCTCTACCAGATGCAATCCTAAAAATATGACCGTGTTTCTGCTGCAGAGATCCAGATACTTATATCACACAAACCTGAATGAGGGAACCTGTGAAACAAAGGAATTGCTTCAATGTTGATGATTACTAACCCCTCTTAATTTTTTTAAAACCTTAAAAAAAGATTTTAGCAATGAACGTGAGATCAATTAGTCAAACAAATCTAGGTTAATCCTAGACTGATCTAGAGTACTGGGGACTTGGTATGAGAGCAACCACAT